AAAGCAGGCAGAGTGTAAAATACAACGCACATGCGTAAGTCCATTCTTGAACCAAACAATTCGATGCTGCAAAAACATGAACCAAAACGCACATTTCCAGAAACGTTATGAACAAAGCCTATGTAACTTCATGATTTCAGTGACAGAAGATGACCACAAGCATGGGGAGAGTCCACAATGATTTTAACAGGCCAGTAATCTCTCCAGGCACCTGGAAGTAAATATTCCTCAGAGCATCAAAACAAAACAAAAACCAAACAATGAAACAACAAAACTTGCCCTGTCCAAGTTGCTACTTGTAGTAAAATAAGGAGGAAAGCAGCAAAACAGCATGAGAATGCAGGCCATAGACATGTTCACATCTAGCCATCAGGACTGCTTACAGACATGCACTGCTCTGGGAGTACATTTCTGGATAAGCAGAACAAGCCTTTCCCTGATCTGTTTACCCCTCCCTTATGGGCAAATGGGAAAGCCACCAAAGCTCCACCTACTCCCTCTTCATCCCCCTGCACAAGTGCAGAAGAAAGCAGCCCTGACAGTTCCAAGCAGCCAGCTATGAAAAGCAGCATTTTATAGTGCCAGAGATCCTCAATGCAGGGAAATTAGATCACTATGATTGAGCAGAGTTAAGAGAGGCTCCTTACAACACTACCGATAGTCTATGCCTCCACTAGTAAATCCAGCTATGCCAGGAACCACTCGTGAGAAATGGAACTCAAGTCATGAGGACTGCTGAACTGATAGACACAGCATCCTTCTAACCCAGGCCAGCTACAGCTCTCCTATGCAATTCTGGGTCATGATTTTGGATTTAACACTACCCAGAAGCCAGTCCCAACCAGTAGCTTGCATTCAGCTATCCTGTTTTTGAAGGCAGGAAAGTTTAGCAGATAAGACAAGGGCTAAACCATGCCAGCTAGCTTCAGGATCAGAAAAGAGTATTGGGTACATTTAATTAACTGGTAGAGAAGTAGCCATAGCCTCTCCAGGCTTCTTCGAGGAAGACTTTAAAAGTAGTGCATGCAATGAAGCATACAAGCAGACCCTGGTTAGCACCATCCGACAAAAGTCATCTACACATTGTAGTATACAAGAAAACTACAAATTAGCAGAGCTCATCTTGGCTTCTTCCCATTTCCTCTGAGCAGGCAGACCTTGCACATCATCTACTAATCCAGTCTCATTTATTTTCTCGTTTAAAAAACAAAGTTCTATACATTTAGCATATGCTTTTACAGGAATGCTACTCTAATAAAGGAGTGTCACAAAATCGCATAAGAAGCTGGGTTTCTGAGGGCAGATCATCATCGCAGTAAATATTTAAAATGAGAGTTACTTAGAAACAATTATTATTCTAATTACTAGTCATCAACAAATCTGCTTCTGTAGACTAAACATAATTACTAGTGAATCTATTACGTTATCCTGAAAACATAGCTCCAGCTAATGCTGGCAAGTACATTTTTCACAACAGATAACTGTGCAAAAACAGTAAAAACACATGTGACAACTGTCAATACACAGCTATTGTGTGTTATCAATACTCTTTGAAATCTCTTTATTTCAGATATCTAGAATTGGTCTGTTTAAAACTGCCCCTTTCATAACCAGATACCTCTGCTGCCTTTGCTCTAATGACAGAATGCATAGGATGTCCCACAGAAAATCCATTGAGCAAAACACATTTGCCACTACTTAAACATTCATGTTTTCAGTGAGGACAAACAATTTTGTTTAACAACCCTCCTGGGCATGGATCAAACTTGCCAGCTATTCCTAGCTCTGACTATTTAAAATATGCATGTCACCTGCATCTTTATGCAAATCCACCGTTTTCTTGGAAAAGTGTTTTTACTTATTTACAAGGAAAACTTTACGATATGCTTTGTTATATATTAAGCTGCACTGTATCAGCTGACTGCTAAAAATCAAGTATGATGTAAACTGTGTGGAACATCCACATAAAAATTACGTATTTACATAAGCAGGTAAAGAACAACTGGTATTTTTGAAGTGAGACAGTTCTCTTTGCCCAGGAGCGACTCCCCACATGAAGGGAAACACGCACACCGCACCAGACACCGGCGGGTTCTCCGCGATCAAGTTATGCACGACCAGAAGTCTGAGGAGCAGGTCCGCCAGCCCCGCCGTGCCCGACCGAACCATCCCGCCGCAGGGAGAGAAGGGCCGCCTCCACCCCGCGGTGACCCGCACGGCGGCACCCAGCCCGAGAGCTTCGGAGAGCGAGAGACGCCAACTCTCAGGGATGGAGCCCAAGCCGGAAGGGCGGCCCCACCACCGGAGGAAAGTCCCCACCGGTGCCCGCACGGCCACAGGACACGGCTGAGAACTCCCGCCCGGGGCTGGCGGCGGTCCCGCCCCCGGGCCCCGCTCTGCCCCGGAGAAGCACCCGCCTGCCGCCTCCCCTCAGCCGCCGCCGAGCCCGCACGGCGCCGACCGTTACCCACCAACGGCTCTGGGAGAGGGGGCGCCCGGTAGTTCTGGGCCTCCTCAGGGCGCCGATCTCCTAAGCGACCCAGCCCGCGGGCAGGAACCCCCGGTACTCCCCTCCCGGCCGTGGGACCCCGGCTAGAGGAACCGGCACAACCGTGCGCGGCTCTTCGCGGTCTCTGCTGCAACTCTGCCTTCTCTGGCCGCCCAGACTGCCGCCCCCTGTGGAGCAGGGGCAGCCGCAGCTCAGCCTCGCCGAACAGCCGCCGGCGGATCCAGCGCCAACTACGGCGCAATGCCTCTCCTCACCTCACGGCGTGGCCGGTGCCCCGCGGAGCCCAGCGCAGCACAAGCCCGGCCTGAGCTCTCTCCGGGAAGTTTCCTGCCATCGCAGCGGCCGGGGAAAACAAAAGCTTCCAAGCCGGGAGCGGGAAAAGGAGGAAGAAGGTCAGCGCAAGCAGGAGAGCGAGGGGCATTGCTAGCCCGCCGCGCCGCTGCCCTCTGCTGCCGAGCCCCGCGGAGGGCAGTTCGCTCAGCGCCACCTCCCCATTCGCTTCGGTGGCGGCTCTGCCGCACAGGCAACGCCGCGGAACCGCCGGACCCAGGAGGAGGCAGACAGGCAAACCAGCACCGCCTTGCCTTTCTATGCCGTGCCGTGCCGTGCCCTTCCTTGCTTTGCCCTGCCTGCCTACCGGCAGCCTCCCCCGCGCCCACCCGTCCCGCTCGCTACAGCGCCGCCGAGCGCCGCCCGCGCCGCGACTACGGCTCCGCCCACCCGGGACGCGCGCACGCTCCGGCCGAGCGGCTCCGGCGGCCCCCGCACCGGGGCGGTGGGTGGGTGGATGGGTGCGCCTGCCCTCGCGAGTTCCGTGCCCTGCGCTGGGGCGGCGAGGCTCGACCCCCTCCCATTGTCTCCCCTCCCTTGCCCCGCTCCCGTTCGTGTCCCACCGCCAGGCGTCCAGCGGCTGTGCCTGTACAGCTGGAGACCCCGCTTCTGCAGAGCCAGCTGAAAGAAACGCTGAGGGCAGGAGCAACAAACGCAGAGCTCCCAGTCTTCTACTGGGCTGGGTCTAAAATATCATAGAAGAATATAGAAAATATCACCCACCCAGGGTTGGAAGGCCTTTGGAGATCATTTAGGCCAACCCCCTTTCCAAGGCAGGGTCACCTGCGTCAGGTTACACAGGAAAGTGTCCAAGCAGGTTTTGAATGTCTCCGGAGATGGAGACTCCACGCCCTCTGGGCAGCCTGTTCCTGTGGTCTGCCATCCTCAACGTGAAGGAAGTTCTTCCTTATAGAATCATAGAATAGTTAGTGTTGGAAAGGACCTTAAGATCATCTAGTTCCAGCCCCCCTGCCATGGGCAGGGACACCTCACATTAAACCATGTCACCCAAGGCCTCGTCCAACCTGGCCTTGAATACTGCCAGGGATGGAGCATTCACAACCTCCCTGGGCAACCCATTCCAGTGCCTCACCACCCTAACAGGAAAGAATTTCCTCCTTATATCCAATCTAAACTTCCTCTGTTTAATGTTGAGGTGAAACTTCTTGTGTTTTAGTTTATGGCCATTGCTCCTCATCATGTTGCTGGGCACCACTGAAGAGTCTGGCACCATTCTCTTGGCACCTGCCTTTGAGATACTTATACGCATTAATGAATGAGATCCCCTCTCAGTCTTCTCCAGACTAAACAGGCCCAGGTCCTGCAATCTACCATCATGAGAGAGATGCTTCAAACCCCTGATCATTCTTGCAGCCCTCCACTGGACCCTCTCAGGTAGCTCCTTGTCTTTCTTGTACTGAAGAGCCTAGAACCAGACACAGTACTCCAGACTTGACCTCAGCAGGGTCAAGTATATGTGGTAGTATTGCAGTCCTTGTGTACATAAAGGGAAAATTAACATAAAAGATTTCAGAGTCGCTGTCTCAATTATATAAATTTATAGTGGCTGATTTTTAAGGACTAAGCTATTATGTATCCTCATTGCCCACACTGCTAACACAGTAAGGAGGAAGATTTGCCAAATAGGGTATAGTTGCAATGCTGAGGTCACACAGTATGTAGCAGCCGTACCACCTGCAGCCTAGAATAGGGTGACTACTGATGCCGAGATGTTCAAGGCAGTAGACCATAATTTCATACCAAAATCTATGTGGTTCAGGGTAGCTTATTGTGCTTTTAGCTAGTTGTCTTATTTTCATAGTTAAAACATACATTATTGGCAAGACTCACTTTATCATATTAAATGGATGTACAAGGATACAAACTGATAGGAAAACTCTGTATTGTGTTACAGAACTTGATGTCTGAGCCAGGATGTCTTTCACAATTCCTTTTTCTATTCAAACTGAGTTTACCTTATTGCTAGCAGTAGGTCACTACATCATGTCACAACTGCTCACAGTGAACTCAGAACACAGGAGAATAAGGAAGCTTCTCAGTGTCCCAAATGGATCTCTTCAGCATGAAGCTGATGTGATAGATGCTAGCAGGATGTTAACTGCTACATCCACTGATACTGCTTTGACTTTTGAGAAGTGCAACTCTTGATTGAGTTCAGCTGCACTGCACACACAAGCCTATGGTTGAGAACTGCAAGGCAAATGCAGAGAGGAAGCTATTCTTTCTGGCTGCGTAAAGAATTCTTGAGCAAGTAAAACTATTTTTTTATTCTTACATCTTCTTTAACAAGTGGTGTGAGCACTTTTTTGTTGTAATTTCCCATCACAGGAGAACCCCTGTTAAGTTCTACTCCTTGTTTTGAGTATAGAAAGAAAAAAATCTTGTGGAATTTGTTTTCTGAGATGCACTCTGAACTCCTCCCATCTGAAATAAGCATAACTAACCAGTGAGAAACTGCCCCACTGGGCCTTCTGATTTGTATTGCTGTGGTTGACTAAAGTCTTTAAAGACTTTTTCTAGCACAGGGGAGATGTGATATATTGATTGAATCTGAAAATCCTCAGATATTATCACTGCACTCCATCTTGTGGAAGAGGCAACAATATATTTTAAAATGATCCTGTAGTGGGATTTTTGAGTAATTAAACCCAACAATGCCTGGTTCTTGCTGCCAAAGCAAGGAACTACCTACAGCAGTGGTTACAAGCAGTTGTTTAATTCTCAATCTGCCTAATTGTACCCAGTGGATTTGTATAAATGTCCCTTGGGTTTTAGGTATGAGCTTCACATCTCTTTGTTTAGGAAAGGAGCTTTAGGAAAGCATCTGAAGAGTGATTTGAAAGGAGAAACTAAAGCTTTCTAGGTGAGGTTGCCAAGGAGCACCCCAGATTCGGGAGAGTCATCATAAGGTTAAAGAAGCAGCAAGATGGAGAAGGGATGGTGATTTATGGGATATGTGTCTGTGGTAAAGACTGTGCCAGGCAGGATTGCTCTGTAAGGAACTGCCTGGTTTGGGTTGGTTTTGGGTTGTTTTTGTTACCTCTATAGTAAGTACAATAATCTTACTGAGTCTGGGATGCTATCTGTCTTACCAAAAAAACCCAAATGATGAAGTTCTCCCTGCCCTTCTGAAAGTGCCTTTCATGGCTTGTGACCTTTTTCACCTTGATGTTCAGCGCTGCTTTGGGAAATCAGAGTAGGTATTGAGGCAGCAACTGTGAACCATAGCAGAGGCATATGCATACACATTTGTGTCTGGGCAGATGCAGAGAGAATTGAGAAACTTATCTGGATTCACAGCTATAGAAAGGTTAGACTTATAATAGTTGCCCTAGGACAAGCTTGAAGATAAAGCCATTTAACTTTGTATTTTAAGTTATTCATTAAAGGGCTAGTTCCCCCAGCTGTTCCTTGGACAGAAGAAAAAAATGTTTTCTTGAGAAGAGACTGTAGAAAAGCTTAGTCATTCAGACCCAAAAAAGCAGAGAAAAATGGGTCTTGCACAGGAAAAAGCTAGGAGAAAATTCTGTTGTACAAATGAGGATCCTTTGAATTACCTCACCCCAGAAGCAGGTTCCACAAGGAGATTAAATTTAATTAGTAGATGTGAAGTGTGGTTTTTGTTTTCTGGGTTTTTTTTTTGTTTCTCCTTTTATTTTTTCCAGAACTGCACCCTCTTGCAGTAGTAGCAGTGTGATGTGGCATGGAAGAGCAGTGCTAAATGAAGCACTGGCCTTTTTAGTTTCATTTACCAGAGAGGGGCTTGGACAACAAAGTGGTCAACTTGCTGATTGCTGGTGTGCTTTACTGCTCCAAACTGTGCCAAATCCAGTAAGGTAGAATTGATCAGCTTTAAGAAACGCCTCAGTGCAAAGAAAGCCTTGAAGATGGAGCACCTCTTTCTGTCTACTTTTGTAACAGTGGAGACAGGTCTCATTAATTCTTGAGATAATACTAAGAGCAGGGTATCTTTATGGACTACAGTGTTTGTTAGCCTTTTCCAGACTCCTTGGTCATTTTCGTAGGGCAATGACTCATCACTTCATTACTGCACTGATTACATTAAGACGTTAGTATCTTTACAATACAAGTAACATAATGCTTATGCTAATTCACTTTATGCGCAACTGTCAGAATACTCGTCAACTGGAAGTATCTTACATGAGCATTTCAGAATTATTTAGACTTTCCTGATTATTCATATTTATGATATTTAACTCTATTCAGTGATGATTTTGTGTATAGCATGTAAAAACTCAGAACAAATTGTCAGAACTTTTTGTGCAACCATTAGATTTGTTTGAAGGGAAATTAGAATATAACATGACTGCTCTTCAGTTTTTGCTAGAATCCAGCCTCACAGATTTTTTACAGAATAGGGCAAAGGCTAATGTTGGGGTGGGGGTAGCAAGGAAGACTTACTCAAAAGGAAAAGTCTGCTTTTGTCGAAACATTGAGTGTGGTTTTAAAATGATGCAGTTTTGTTTTTTTTTTCCTAACAGTAGCAAGAAGACATGCAGATGAACAGAACAAAAATCAGATGTTAAGCGATTTTCTGTTTGCGCTTATTTTACTAAGCATAAGTACAAGTTAGTTATATAAAACCACAAAAGAGTCTTGAATTTCAAAGTTGCCTCTGAACTCTGTGGTCTGAAGAAAAGGAAGGCTTCAGGAATGTGGTTTCTAGTATATCCAACATAACCCCCCCACACACCTCTTATAATCTTTTTTTGCCTCTTATTTCTTTGTAATTGAATTAATTTGAAGACATGGGAAAACACAGCAGAGTATAACTATGAAGGGTCAGTACCAAGGTCTTACCTCAGTGGGGTTATTCATGTGCTTGAATTTACACAAGTGCTGTGTTCTGCCCGCATGTGGAATGCAAGCAAGCTCACCCCAGTGACTGGAGGGATTGAAGAAAGACTGGGTGAGTAAGGATTATAGTGAAAAAACAGACTGCTATTTTGAAATGGAAATTTATGACATTTAGCTGAGAATTGATGCAGAAGGCTTGTGAACTGGAACTGAGTTTGAAATGCAGCATGAAAATGCTTTCACACCTTTCTCTAGAAAAATGAGGTTCTCTAGAGCTGTTTTTGCAGTGGAGTAAATAACAACTAGTCATTTCCTCACAGATTCAGCACTTTGTATTCTATCCTGGTTTTGTTCTGAGAGGAAGAGAAAGAAGGAGAAAACATTTGAACAAAATTTGTGTCAAAGTAAATATGAGATCATTTATTACGTAATTTCAGGTATTGACATGCATTTGGTGTCTCTTGTCTTCTCTTTTGGCCATCTGACTGTTACCAGAGTTATTCCTCTTTTACTTCTCATAGGAAAACTGAAAAGATGGTCAACAAACCTCATAAATCCACCTTCCTCTCAAAGGGTATTTGCTGCTTCAGTTGCTAATGTTTGCCTTTGAAGCAAGATAAACCAAAGCTGTGTTGCATCTGTGCGCATCCACATTGCCATGGGGATGTTTTGGGAAAATTCAGCATTCAGCTTCCAGTTTATAAGACCCTGAAGTGTCTGGGCTATAACTTCAATCCTTCAGCAATTATAATCTTTTCAGAAGCTTGTGGTAGTGGAAGACATGGCACGGAATCGTCCCCAGAGTGATATTTTGCCCCTGGAACTCAGCTTTGTGTGTCTTCATCCCATGTCCCAGTTTTAACAAAGGAATGAGTAACAACACTTCTGTTCATTTACACTCTTGTGTAAGAGAAGCAACTGACCTCCCCTTCTAGGCAGCATGCTTCCTGGTATTTCTGATCTGGGCAGGGAGGCTACGTGCAGTATTAATGAAGTTGGTACACTCTTTTTGGTATGACATTTGTTTCATTTTGTTATTTAATTCAGGAATCAGGGGCAAAAAATCTTGATTCATAGACTTCCTAGAGAAGAGCTATAAACTTCTTTTCCCCTCTGTGCTCTTCTCTCCCCACAATTTAATGTTTCCTGTGCTTACAGGCAGAGGGTATAATAAAAGAAGTCTAACTATAGTCGTTCCCCCATCCAGATCCCAGCTATGTATAGTTTTGTAAATTTGCTATTCTGTCACATTCAGACTAGATTTATATTTACTCCAGTTACTCAATCCAATTCTCAGCAGAACCTTTATGATACATATTGATATCTTTGTTTTAAAAGCAGTTATTTTTACTTATTTACTTATTTAAATAAGTATTTTTTTTTTCTCAGCAAATGCTTTTAAGTCCTTACATTGTTGTTTAGTGAAACTAACTGGAATGACCTTCCAAAATCTTAATGCAGGAAACTATCTACAGTGAAGCATCTGAACAAATTCAGTGTTTTCTGCAACTACACTGACTAGGAAAAGCATAACAAAACAGGATTTCTGCCACAAGACACCTTTATTTTCTGATGTCACATATTTGGTATCACTAAACCTAATTCTGCACATCGTGTTAAAACTTGCTATTCATTTACCAATAAATTTTACTTGTAGTAGATGCTGCAAATCAAGATGGACAACACAGATACTACTCATTAAAAAAAAAAAATAAATAAATACCTAGTTCCATTTTATTTAGAACTGTCGTGGTTTAAGCCCAGCCGGCAACCCAGAACCACGCAGCCACTAGCTCACTCCCACCCTTTCCTCCCCCCACTCCAAGAGGGATGAGGAGGAGAATCGAAAGAATGCAACTCCTACGGGTTGAGATAAGAACAGTCCGGTAACTAAGGTATAACACAAATCACTACTGCTACCACCAATAATAATAATGATATGGGAAATAACAAGGGAAGAGAATACAACCGCTCACCACCCACCAACCGATACCGAGCCCAACCTGAGCAGTGATCTAACCCTTCCAGGCACCTGCCCCAGTTTAAATAGTGGGCATGACGTGCTGTGGTATGGAATACCTCTTTGGCTAGTTTGGGTCAGGTGTCCTGTCTCTGCTTCCTCCCATCTTTGCCTCCTTCTTGGCAGAGCATGAGACTCAGAAAGTCCTTGGTCAGAGTAAACATTACTGAGCAACAACTAAAACCATCGGTGTTATCAGCACTGCTCCCAGGCTGAAAGTCAAAAACATAGCACTGCACCAGCTACTAAGAAGGAGAAAAATGACTGCTACTGCTGAACCCAGGACAAGAGCCAAAGGCAATGCACTGTAAGCCTAATGTTATAATGTGGCCTCTGTAACAAAACAGATTTCTGAACTGCTAACTGATGACAAATGCTTCATAAATCTGCCAGTTAAACAAAAATAATAGTGAAAAAAATCATGTTTGAAAGAGAGCAGCAGAGTAAGGCAGGCAAATAATTTACCATTGGGAAGTATCAGTGTTGGAATTTCCTCTGAACTGGTAACTTCAGCAAAGAATTAACATGAAATAGTGAGTGTAAAACAAAATTGTGTGTTCAGTGGATTTAATATAAAATTTTTATTGTGTAGTTGCACAGAAAAAAAAAAATACTACCCTATTTTAATTTCACTTGGGGTTAGCTAGTTTTTAAGATTCTTTTTAAGTTTCCTTTGTCCTAAATATGCCTTATCATTTTTAGAACAGCACTAGTAATTTAACAGTGACCTCCACATATTGAGGCTTTTACAACTCGTACTCCTCAGAGAGAAAGATATCTGAGAACATACATGAATACAGGAAGTGCCCCACTGGCTGGACTGGGGATCTTTTTTAATCTGAAATGGGCGAGAGACCCTGGTGCATATCAGGTACTTTGAGTGTACATCAGATAAGGCAGGCTGTAGTCTCTCCTCCAGAAATACTCATTGAAGTTCTGGCTGCACTTTTTCCTCTCAACTTTTATTTATACACTTCAAATCAAGGCCCTTCCAAGCCGCAGTCACAGAATCACAGAATTGTTTGAGTTGGAAGGGACCTTTAAGATCATCCAGTTCCAACCCCCTGCCGTGGGCAGGGACACCTTCCACTAGACTAGGTTACTCAAATCCCTGTCCAGCCTGGCCTTGAACACTGCCAGGGATGGGGCAGCCACAACTTCTCTGGGCAACCTGTGCCAGTGTCTCACCACCCCCACAGGGAAGAAATTTTTTCCTAATGTCTAATCTAAAACTCTGCTCTGTCAGTGTAAAGCCATTCCCTCTTGTCCTGTCACTATATGCCCTTGTATTTAACAGGTCTGGGTTTTTTTGCTGCAGCCACATACCAAACAACAACATTGCAAAGGGTAAAGTTAAAATACTAATTGAGTAGCAAGAACTGCTTAGTTATGTAGGTCTTCCATGACCATGCTGAGAAATGCTGACATGGTCATTTCATTGCAAATACTTAACTGATTTGATACTGAAAGATTCCATCATCTCAAAGCAAAAATTAGAAATGTTTACACGTTCAACAGTTTTATCATATAAAGACAAGTACCAATACAACCAAAATTTTTAAAGTAACCTGCCCACTTCATAGCTTCATATTTAGCTCTGTTTTCTCGAAGATAAGCCCAGTTAATCACAGACTGCATTGGGTTATTTTTAGGCTTGATAGTGTCCAAGGTTTTTCCTGTAGAGATAGTACCACAAAGCTGCTGTTTGATGGAATCTGTTGCAGGGTAAGTGAGAAACCCCCCTCAAAACAAACAACTTATTTTCTTTTTTGATTGTATGGCTTCTTAAGTGATTTTAATAGACATGAAGCACTTAAATAGAAAATTCTTTCTTAGGTCTTATTGTGAAACATCAATAAAATCTGTACAAATGCAGTTCTAATAAAAAAAGAGAAGCATTTCAATATCTTCAGCTACTTAAAGAAAGTGGCGGCAGGTTCTGAAATGCTGCTCCTCCAGCTATAAGTCTTGTTGTGCAGCAGGCTTTTGAAAAACTTGTGAACCAGTAGATGATATGCAGATGAAAAGCTTTATTTTTAACAGCTATAAAAAGCAAGGTTTACTTCTAAGCTATCCAATTACACCATAATGAAGTCTTGGTGTAGTTACACTCTGTACTTCTTTTTTGACGAGGTTAACACTTCAAGAAGTTTTACACTGAAGATATAAATGGCAACACAATTATGTATTAATGTAAAAGCAGGAAACACAGGGAAAACACAGTAACCCATATTAAGGAAACTTTAAGTATTTCTAGCCTCTTGAAACATACTCATCCACCTTCTGTGGCACTTCCAATATCAAAACTCAGAACTACCCTATTCCTTATTCTAACACTGGAACACATCTCTCAGATCCCTTCTTCCTCATCAGTGCCTCAGATCAACAACTGTGGATGTAGTTTGCCTGTGCAAAAAGTCATTGGGAGCACACAGACAAATACTAATAAGTAGCTTCTCAACACACAATCATTACTTTAAATCCACGTAACTAAGTTAACGCAATAAAGCCTAGTAAAGAGAGGCATGATGTGTAAGATCAAATCTTAAATGCCAACCTCCCATGAAAGTAGTAAAAAGTCAGCATTGCCCATGCTATAAATAGTATGTTTGCCTTATATATTTATAAAAACTTACAGAACTTTAATACTGCACAGATACTACTTTGAAACCTGACTGATAATGGAAGAAACCAAGTAGTCTAACATTCTGCATTCATTTAAATTGTTGAAAACACACAGCGATTGATTTTCACAGAAATCTGGCAGTTTGAAGGTGGGGGGGTGGGATCTGTTCATAGCCAAGAAAGGAGGATGTCTAGATATTTCTGTTTTAAGCAGGTATGCCACTGTCCAAAAACAAGGTGAAAGTTAATTCAGTTCAGTAGCATATTAATAACATGAAAACGCTCCAGCAAACCATCAAATATCTGGAAAGACAATCCACAGTGTTTTTTTAAACAAACACCCCTCCCCCACCAAACAATAACAAAAAAAAATCCCAAATCCCAAACACACAAATCCCTAAACAAATTCCTTCCCTTTCTCACTCCCACCTCTATTGTAGTTTTGTCCAGATCTTGTAACAGCATCATCAATCAATATCTTGGCTTTGTTTTGTACAGCAACGCTGCCAAAAATCTTTGCTTCAGCTTTATATGTTCCCTTTATAACCTATGTTCATAAAACCTTACTGAGTTTTCTAATACCATGATGACAAACTTTATGTAGGAATATATACTTATAACAGTCTTTGATTTTTTTTCCTGAATTTTAACTTCTGAGTAAAAGGCCCTTTAATTCCCTTTCTAAAATGGTAATAAATGCATACTTAGCGAAAGAGTATCAGTAAGCTTCTCCAGTCAGGCTGCACCCTCAATTCCACTTCATTTTCACCAATTCTTGTAAAACAGTAGAATTATTACAGCTATTGCAGCACACATGTTGCTGCATTAACTGTGGTTTACATAGAACCAAAACCAACCACGCTCACAACACAGTCCAGGCCTTAATGACACACAGCACATGGTACCTTTATCCTGGAACCTGGAGAATCCTCAAGCTCTCATTTTACTTCCAGCCCGGCTTGTAATAAGGATACACTGCAGGTGTTACAGAGATTTAGGCCAAACTGCCAGAAACTACAC